TTTCATTCCTAAGGTGGGACTAGAACTCACAGTCTCCTGGTGATTGGCTCAAAATCGTCCAATGGGACTTTCATTCCTAAGGTGGGACTAGAACTCACAGTCTCCTGGTGATTGGCTCAAAATCGTCCAATGGGACTTTCATTCCTAAGGTGGGACTAGAACTCACAGTCTCCTGGTGATTGGCTCAAAATCGTCCAATGGGACTTTCATTCCTAAGGTGGGACTAGAATTCACAGTCTCCTGGTGATTGGCCCAAAGTCATTCAATGGGGCTGTATGCCTACATCAGGATTAGAATTTCCAGTCTCCTGATAATTGGCCCAAAGTCATTCAATGGGGCTGTATGCCTAAATCAGGATTAGAACTTACAGTCTCCTGATAATTGGCCCAAAGTCACCCAGCCAGCTTTGATGCCTAAGGCAGGACTAGAACTCATAGTCTCCTGGTTTCTAGGCCACCACTCGACCAAATTAGCTTTGTTTTATCTGTTTCGGCAGGTAGGTCTGGACCTCTCCAGGGTCTTCCAGTAACTCTCTTCTTGTTTCACCATAGAATCAAGCCGTCTGTTTATCCGTGAAGAGTCGTTTAAGAAGGACGCTTTCCCACTTCCGCCTGAGGATGGATTTTGGGACTAGGACCACAGCAGGTCTTCATGGAAGGCCAGCGCAAGACTCGACAGAGGAACACCGACCGGAGGGCCAGTCCTAAGTTTCTCTTCCGCAAAGCATAGACCAGCGGGTTGGCCAAAGAGTTCAGGTGCGAGAGCAACACCGCCAGATGTTCCAGAGACTCGTACTGTTCACAGCTGGGACACAGCAGCTGGATGAAGTAGATCATATGCAGAGGCATCCAGCAAATGAAGAAGACACCCACCAGGAGAAGAAGGGTGCAGGCCATCTGCATTTCCTTCCTCTTGGCTGGCCAAAGCGGCTGTGAGCGGAAATGGTCACGGACGACGCGGAAGATGTTGCCGTAAATACCCAGCATGGCCGCCAGGGGCAGCAAAGTGCAGATCAAGAAAATGAAATAAACCAGAAACTCGGGACTAAAGATGGAGGTGAACGAACAGCGGCCCAGATGTTCGACTGGGCCGTGACTGGAGCTCAGAGCCTCTGGATCCTGGTAGGCTTGAGTGAGGAAGTCTTTGGGAGGTTTGTCCCGGATTACGAAAACGAAGACGGCTCTCTGGAAGCTGATCCCCCTCGACTTGTTCCTGGTCTCTCCATATTGCTGAAATTGGTTCCATCCCATCATAGGGGAGAGGCCGATCAGCAGGGAGAGCAGCCAGCAGGAAGCCACGGTGAACATCACCCAGCTTTTTTTCACACGCAGAGGGTAGCTGCCCAATAAAAGACATTCATTAGTATCTTTGGATGGAGAGAAAGCAGACTAACAGACTTGGAAAAGACCTTGGAGGTCATCTAGTCCAACCCCCTGCTCAAGCAGGAAACCCTACACTAGTGATGGCGAACCTTTTTGGTGCCGAGTGCCCAAAGCATGCACGAACCCCCAAAATGCAATACAAGCACCCCCGTGTATGTGCCCTTCCCCCCCCGCATGTGTCCACCCCTCTTGAATTTTGGATTCAAGTTGTGTTAAAATA